CAGGACTGGACGCCCCGGATTTCTGTTTTCTTTCTTTTTTAAGCTTTTCAGGTGGGGATGGCAGAATAGGTAGCTGGGGCTTTAGTCCAGCGATTCTACTCCAGGACCTTCTGCTCCTAAGCTTCTGTGCAGAAGGGAGCATTGATGGGGGTCAGGAGGACACTTAGGCCGTGGTCCTGATTCTGCCAACAAAAAGCTTTGTGATCTTGGAGGAGTGGGGGTTGGGAGGAAGGTGTCTCCCATCCTGACAGTCTTTGGCTCTCTGAATGTCAGGCCTTCCGTGGAAACCAGGATCCCTCCTCCTGTATCAGTCAGGGTGAGGCCGGTTACCTTTCAGTAAAAATGGCCCCTACCCCACCCCAATCTTCCCACTCTCCCCTTTATTCCATGCAGTCTGTAACTGACGACTCCCGCGTTTCTTTCCGGCAGAAGGGGCAGCAGAGAAGGCCGGGAGCAGGGAACGTGCTGATCCGAGAGGACTTCCGGTAGGTGAGACGCGGGCAGGAGGCCGCTTCCTAAACCGCGAGCCACCCCAGCCACAAGTCACTTCTAGGAGCCATTTCTGAGGCTGATGAAAGGATGTGGAGCCTAGTTGGGTAGAATAAGAACGATTTTGTCATTCTTCTTAGAATCCTGGAAGGAACGCTAGCAATCAGATGGACCTACTCCCTTCTGAGGGTCAGAGAAACTTGTGGGTGGGCACCCAGGGTGAGTGTGAAACCCCAGCCCGGGCACCCCTCCCGACAAGGAAGGACAGGGTCTTGAGACGCCCTGCTCACCCCAGACTCACCCCAGTCCTGCCAGGGTCCTCGGCCCCCCAGGCAATGCTTCTGCTCTTGCCTCTGCGGACCCCGCATGCTGGAGGACAGGTGAAAAAGGCCCAGGCGTTCCCACACCCTTTCTCTCCGCCAGAGCGATATTTATTCATGGTTAAAAAAAATCCCAGCAGGTTGTGAGCAGCAAGAAACTGTGAATCCTGTCCCATTTCCACACAACACGGACGCTGAATTCAAGGCCTGGAGGTGAAAATCAGAAATGCTTCCCCCGTTCAGACTGGTTCTCAACCTCTCCATGCCAACACGCATCATAATCACCACGGGCCGGGTACATGCCAGCCACTGTGCCAGCCACGTTACATTCATTTTCTAATGTGAAACCTGCAGGACTTCTGTAGGTAGGAACTATCCTCACTTTACAGATAGGGACACTGAGGTTCAGAGAAGTTAACTCGTCCAGAGTCAAAGGGCTAAATGAGTAGCAGAACTGGGTGCCTGGCTCAGCTGTTTTGGATTCCAAAGCCTGGCTCTTAATCTGTAATAACTTCCCCATGATATTTATACCATATATATTGGTTTCCTGTGGCTGCTATAACAAAGTACCACCAACTTGGAGGCTTAAAACAACAGAAATTCATTGTGTCACAGTTCTGGAGGCCAGAAGCCCAAGATCAAGGTGTGGGCAGGGCCATGCTCCCTCCAGAGGCTCTAGGAATGATTCACACCCTCACCTCTTCCAGCTTCTGGTGGCTGCTGGCATTCTTGGCTTATGGCCAAATCCCTCCGCTCTCTGCCCTCTGTGGCCACATCGCCTTCTCTTCTGTTTGTGTTAAATCGGCCTCTGCCTCCCTCTTATGAGGATACTGTGATTGCACTTAGAACCCATCTGGCTACCCCAGGAGACTCTCCCCATCTCCAGAGCCTTAACTTCATCACACCTGCAAAGAATCTTTTTCCAATAAGGTAATTTTCCAGCTCCCAGGGATCAGCATGTGGGTATCTTTTGAGAGGCCATGTTTCTGCTTACCACACCATATGTGTGCCCATTCCTTCCCTAATTTATTCCTTCATAGACCTTAATTGTGTGTATTGGTCACTGTGCTAAGAGCCTGGAGCTAGAAAATCAAAAGAGAAATGACACAGACCCTGCCTTCACGGACCTCATGGTCACTGTGTGAACTTTCAAACCTACTTCCCAGATGTTCTTGTGATAACAGGAGTGAGAGACATCAGGACACAATAGCTGGCACTTACTACCTACAACACTCTTCTGACATTTACACGTATTAAATCACTTGACCCTCATGGCCTTATCCCCAGCTGTAGGGTGGCTCCACAGTGTATACTTGTCACCTCCCCGCACAGAATGCTACACGAGCACAGGGAAGAGGCAGTCAAGGTGAGCGAGGGTGTGGTCAGGGAAGGCTTCCTGCAGGAAGTACCACTTGCATGGAATCTGGAAGGATGGGATTTGGCCAGAGAAAGTGGGATGGGGAGAGGGTAGGAGTGAGGAGGTGCCCCAGGAAGAGGGAGGCAGGAGGGAGCTGAGATGCTCCTAGATATGGGTGAGGAGAGACAGGGGTCAGGGAGGGCTCCTGTCTTTTGGGAAAACCACTAATCCCTGGTGTGGGCTTCGAGCTTGGTTCACCTGGGATTTGTTCATGCTCAGGTCTGAGGCCCCCACCTCTGCCAGCTGAGGTCTTTCAGCTTCGCTGGTCTCTTCTTTTGGGGGATTTGATGCAGGGAGAGCTCTGAGAGCCATTTCTACAGCTCCCCAAAGGGGATAACTCAGCCCTGCCCATCACCCTTCTGTCCTGAGCCTCTTGGGTGGGAGAATCAGAGAAGCCACATGGCAGCCCCTGAACAGGATATATTCACAGTTGAGCAGGAAGACCACAGAGGGGGAAACTGAGGTCCAGGGAAGAGAAGCCACACAGCTCATGTGCAGAACTGGGCCCCACCCCAGCCTCTCTGTCTGGGTCCCTACACTGCTCTTGGCTCCCGCAGATGATGGGGCAGGACCCCATCTCCTCTAGGCAGGGGCTTCCTCTGGACCCACCCTTGAATGGAGGTCAGGGACAAGAAGTGACTAAGATACATTCCTGCCCTGGAGGGTTTCCCACCACGCTGGGGGAGATGGGCAGCCCACCAGAGAATTGTAGAACTAAGTAGGTATCTGGAGGAAGGGACCAGAAATCAGACTAACTGGCAAGATGGAGTGCCATCAGGGAAGGCTTCCTGGAGGAGGAAACCTCTGAACTGAGCTGGGAAGCATAAGTGGGGGTGGGCTCAGCCAAGACCTGTATTTGGGTTGGGTGCAACTGGTGCCACAAGGGCCTGGCGTGCTGGGCAACAAGGAAGGAGGAGAGCAGAGCCAGGCCAGGTTCTGCAGAGCCCCGGGTGAGGCTGGGAGTCAGAGGAGCTGGGGTGGAGGCTCAGCTGAGCACGACTGGGAGGAGGCTAAGGTCCAGGCCTGGAGGCTGCCACCAGCTCCCAGGGCCAAGACTCTTGTCCTGGGCTCTCAGCTTGAGGTCCAGGGCTGCAAGGGCAGACAGCGGGAACCCAGGGGAAGGGAGGGAACCTCCCCAAGGCGCTGGGCGGTCCCTGGCCCTGCAACAGGCAGGCCTGGTGGGTGGCTCTTGCTTTTCCTTCCTCCTGCCTGCTCTGGTCTCCTCTTTCCC